TGAGTTGAATTCCAATTGCATATGTATTAGTAGGCTAACTGAAGGAACAAAAGTATACCGTGGAGAAGAATTCCAACTAGTGTTCCAGTTAGTTTGATACGGTTTATTAAGTTACGGGGAGATTTTCTCAACCTTATTTTTACTTGACCGTGATAGAATTTAGTAATACTACTAATACACATGAATGGTTATCAAAATAAAATTTAAATACATGAGTGATAATTATATGAATTTTGGACAGATAGCTAGGAACAAATCGCTAAACATGAGTGTATTCGTAAGAGACATGCTCTGGACTCAATGTTCTGATCTGCAGACTATTTATTTATATTTATACTTGCTGGCTGATTGGGCATACAAGTATGCAAGTATGCAGTTTATCATAAGGCGGAATACGATTTAATTGAGATATAGTGGTTATAGGTTATTAAAATCAGTTAGGCCTGTCATATTACGAAGTGATGTGGTGCTGCAAGATGTATTTAGCTAAATAAGTTTTTACAAGATGATTAGTATTGAGTGATGCTCATGTGATTAACAGGGAGAACATAAGTTGTAACCAGGGGGAGTACACTCCCAACTCATGTCTATGGTAATGGCTTGAACCTTAGTCAGTGTTGGGGTAAATTCGACATTGATGTTTTCAGTTTACAGGAGGTTTGCTCGACTGCTTATACTGATTATTTGCATGCATGATTGTGTCGCTAAACCATCAATTAGACTGACAAGGTTTTGAGATATTTACTGAATAAGCAACTGATAGAGAAACATACTGTAATCATCTGTGGTGAATGAAGATAAAAGGAAAACAACACTAGTGATAATTGTAAGTCAATTTGCTGACCGATTTTGTTAATAGTTTCATTAATTTTATCAATCATGTTACGTGATTGTCAAGTCATGACAATGCTTTATGACGATATCCTGAAACTATTAAATTTAACTAGTTATAGTGTTGATTGAGGATTAGTCAGTGGAAAAATAGGTAATGTTGCTTTAGGTGATTCGAAATTATCAGAAATTTATAACGTTAAAGAATCCGAGACGCCTAATTTAACTATAAATTTTAATTCAGAAAGATTCGTTTAGTGTTAATTCTAGTAGGCTACGGAGTTTTGATTTTAAACGTTTGTTTAGCTAACAGCTACCTGAGGATTTAGTTATTTTACTAGTGCAGTTGATAGTACCTAAATTTTTAATCTTATTATCTAAACTATGTTCGCATTTTAGGCTGCTAATATGATAAACCAATCCATAAAGCCAAATACGATTAGCAACAACGACTATGATGGGTTTATTGATAAATGCTAAAGGCGACTCAGATGATTCCTAAATTTAGAAGACATGAAGATATAGTGTAACGTATGTGTGGGCCAGGTTAACAAACAGGTTGTTGACGTATATGACAATTTTAAAATAATGAACATGACCAGATAAATAATTTTAAAGTTAAGACTGCTTGTGAAACTTCAGGCAGGAATATGATGCGTTATAAACCTTCCATAAGAAGTTACTGCATTTAGCTTAGTGACACTTACAAATATATGGCAAAAGCAACTGAAAAACATATACATCTTAAGTACAAAAAAAAAATCATCCAGTAAAATAGTTGAACTCGCCTGGATTATTTTTGAAAATTAGATTATTCAGTGGACGACATATATACTGCCATTCGTGAGTAGTATTGATCCAAAAGCATCCAGAATAAAACATGCAGTATGGCAATTAATTCCAGGGTGCTTGATGCTGTTGAGGTTTTTGACACTCGCTCAGATCAGAACAATCGAATGAATCCAGATAATTGTATGGTTGTCATTGAACGAACCATCTAAAAATGATTGCAGAAAACTTATAGCTGAAACTCACCGTATGTTTTTGGAATAGTCATCCTCGTTGTTTGGCAATGGAACTCGAGAATATGAAATTAGGCAGGCAGTGGTCGGAAGAAAAGATATTACAGGATAGTGCATCGTTTAAAACAGGATGAGGTGTTAAGTGAAGGAACACTGAGAATTAGATCCAGATAACTATTTAGTCCTTGATCGCATTGTTAGTCAATGTATATTTACACTATTTACAGGTCATATTTGCTAGAGCTTGATGTTTAAACAAGACTATGTCGCTGAAGCATGTAAATGCTATTACAGCTTGTTAACAAACCATCAAAGCTAATTAGTTAATACAGACGACCAGTTTTTATTATCGATCGAGCTAGTTTGTCATGAGGACTAATCAATATAACATTACGATAATGCATGTGAGCATTAATCAGAGGACTATTAGAATACAGGGCTAACATAAATATAAAATCGATCGAGAAAGTTAAAGTGAAAATAAGGATTAATAATAATAGGTTGCGTTTCATTAGTTGGGCTCACCAATGTAGAACTATGGTCTACTATGATATTAGTACTGCTCTAATAATAGACCTAATCCTAAATTTGTAGATTCGTCATGATATAACTACCTAATCTATAAGATTTTACGTGGAAGTCACACCATCGACTACACCAACTCACTGTATCGTATCAATTACCAATACATGATGTAGAACAAGGTTAGGCTAGAGAAAGAACAATATATTTAATATGAATAGAGACCACGCCTGCATGGCCGAGCCATGCCACTCGATCAACTCCAGTCCATTCAATTCATTGTTCGCGCCTTCTCCATTGTTAGGTATTTCTCCGCGTTAAATATTGAATATCTATTTTCTGAGTAGTCTCGTGTTCACAGCTTTGTGGATTGTGTGGCTATTGTCCAATGCCACTACAATCCTCCAATAATCGATATGGATCACCTACGTTGGTGATTTACGGACGTGTAACGACTCAAGCTGATTGGCCGAAACGTGACCACAATCATCTACGCAAATGTCAGAACATTATAGCTCAAGTATTCATTCATTTCCTTATTTTGTATAGGCATCATATTTCCTGTTATTTTGAGTTGAATGTTGCAAAGTTTTGTATGTGAAAACAACCCTGTGCCCCACTGTATATTGCCCCATGGTCTAAGTAGGGATTTATTCACTACGAGTCTGTATTCTTTTATCAATGAAACGAGGTATATCCACCGGCTTGGAAGAGTCATGCTACCAATTTTATGTTGGATTCGCTACATCGCTAAAGTGACCTATTGAGTGCTAATTCTTACACTATGAATGAAGAGCTGAAAGTGGATAAAAATTACGATGGACAAAATTAACAAATAATAAAGGCATTGAAGGTACTAGCGTTTCAGAACACTTTAAACTCCCTTTTGAAATTGAATGGACAGCCTTCCTGTTTCCTACTTCAGCTTTCATTTCATTATTCAAACCCATTCCATCTTAATACACTACACAACGGATTGTTCTTTGTTTCTGCAATTCCTTTGCGGATCTTTTAGCTGCATTTAAGTCTATTGATAGTACCTAACATAAAGCTTACATGCTAATTAAACATAAATTTGTTTGTTAAACTGCTAACATTCGAGCCTTGCTGAGGATGTACATCCACTTATCATTCTGCTAGTCTTTTTTGTTGTTTTCAGCATCACAATAGCATGCAACTATGAAGCTTTTATACTAAACTGGTACCAAACCTATACGTTTGTCAAGGTTCTAGGTTATACCTTCTCGTAGTTACTTCAATACATTTATAAAATTACTGAACATTTACATATATTATGATATGATAGTTTAAACCACTTAATGTATAGTAGTTTAATCCTCGGTTTTCTATGACTAGGCAACAATGATCTGAACTCCCGGGGCCGACTTGCGTACGCTTTATGCTCCAGTGTTGCAACTACTCTTCTGAGTATCGCGAGACTTTCTCTAAATAGTTATGTTCTGTTTTTTAGAAGGAACCCTAAATGACTGTGTTTATCAAATTTATCCAGCAAGCACAATTTACAAAGAGGCAATAATAGGTCATAAGTAATCACACATCATTGTAAATGGAGGAAATAAAGTGTAGCGTAGGCTTTTTTAGCATCCGATATGTAGTTGAATCAAATGTCAAGTGATGGTCTCGTACCACGATCTGTGCAAGGTTTTACTTCAGTCACTTAGGAGAAAGTTGTAGATCACTAATGTAGGTGACCTATGCGAGGTCTAATTGAGTTGGACAGTAATGGTGTGATATCTTAGCTTACGTCGAAGTCATGCTTTGCAGTTTGATAACGCTGTTTCTGCAACATTTTTTCACTCGGAGATTCCAAACCCGGTAAGGCAGGAAGTCGAAAATGAAGGAGTTTGCAGGTATATTTCGTAGGTGGTCTATGTGTCGAGAAATATATAAACTATTCTGGCTAGTTGTTGCAGGGGGTGCTTAAAACGACGTACCCAATGGTGATCATATCCGGATCCTTGACCAGTCTCTTTCAGCTACAATGTGCCAAGCAAAAGCAAAAAGGTCGAAATCAATGCTAGGAATTACAGAAAAACTGGTGAGAAGTTATGAATGAACCAATCAGATTTAAGATGACAAATCTTGGATATGACGCTAAATCCATTCATCCATTTAGCCTAATGCTGTTTTGGCATTTCAGATGATGCCAGTCCGTGGTGAAAACCCTAATTCTAATTCTCAACCTTAACTATCAATTCTAAATCATAATTACAATTTCTTACACTAGTTTATAATTATCGTTTAGCCCTAGTAGGTAGATGGACATTTTCGAGGTCACTTTGGCGTCGCTCAAAGGTCGTCCGTAAATTATAGTCTCATCGAAATATTTCTTTTGGGGACCTACTTTTCATTACAGTTGGCACCTTGGTATCTAAGCTTGAGTGGTAGCAGAGGATTCTTGATTTTCATATAAATTAAACCTATGGAGGACAATGCATAAGTGAAAACAGAACCATAACTTCTTTAGTGAATAAAAATATTATCTATTCATATTAGCAAACGTAGGACAAAGTGCCAATTTTTTGTTCTGTTGTCTCAACTTGTAGGTTGCACTGAAAAGGCGCCTGGTTCGACGTTCATGCTACTAGCGGATGTGATAATGATATGAAGGCCCCCGAAGGTTTCCGGCTGCCTAACCCAATTGATTTCGAGACTCACCCTCCACCAGAGTTGCCAAAATACTTGAAGCACCAGGTTTACGATAAACCTGAGGTGTTTGCGAAAGTAGACAGTCATGCAATCCAGGTATATTTCCTTCTTACTACGCAGCCCAAATCGTATCTTAAGCTTCATATACTAGTCTGATATATTTTCTTTTTATATTTTATAGGTTGCAGAGTATCAACATCCCACATTCAGGGACCTGATGTGGGATTTGCTATATCGGTACAAATTAGATGAATTAGAAAGGGCCCGTGTAATATTCCGATGGATGACTGCGAAGGATATGCAGAATATCCACTTCGAAAATGTCCCTCCCAATTCTCCAGAAGACGTTCTCATGTCCTTCAGCACCAACCGCGGCACGTTTTCCAGGATGTACGAAGTAATGTGCAAGTAGGTCTTTCAATTCTCCATATTTTGTCAGTTATTCTGAAATTCACTGTGTCACCGTTAGTGGATATGCCAAAGGTGTTGATTACCTTCCTGGTGACAAATTTTGTGGTCTTCCTCCCAATCATTCATGGAATGTCATTTATATTCGAGGATCTTGGCAGCTTGTTGATGTTCATTGGGCGGCTCGTTACCTAAGTTCGGGGAAAAATGTACCTGAGAATGTTGTCTATGAGTATGACGATTTTTACTTCATGATGGAGCCTCAGCAGGTTTGTTTGATAGGTTTCTATTAAGCTTTTTTTTGGATACTGGTCATTTCTTTTATCGTTCTAATCTGTAGCACCCAATGACACCCGATTTGACTTTATTTTCTCGAAATTTGTTTCTTTCAAACAAATACACTGTTCTAGCTAGTTATTTTTGTAGCACATCTAAGCTCAGTATTCATATCTTCGAGTCATTACTTTTTATGCAGTATTTTGTTAATGTTAAGCATCTACCAACTCTGGTCGATAATGTGGATGACAGGTTTCATGTTCTTCATTTTGGGTTAGGCTGTCAGTTGAAACATTTAAATGTTTTCATCTATATCACTGATATCCAACATATGTTACGGATTGTCATTTACCTTCACTCTAATTTCTCATTTATCGTTCCGAATACCCAAAATGACAATCAAACCATATGATAGATTGTATAACATAATGTTATTTAATAATATACTGAATCAAATTGTGGAGAAAATGCAGTCGTAGAAATCAAATATGAAGCTCATAAAATATTGAGATTAACCAGCTTAGATATTGTACTCGATTCACTCGGAACTCTCCCTGTTTATGTGTGGGTTAAATACAATATTTCAACTAGCGATCACATTTTTTCGACAAATTTAAGCTATACCCTCAAATGATCTCAACATCTAAAACTGTTTCAGTCAAGTATAAAACAGCTACGGAAAATAAATGGTTTATTATAAAAGGAAATTTACTTAGCATATATCAATTTCACGTCTTTAATAAACTTGTCTTCCAAAAGATTTTCTGTGGTGAAATCAGCTGACATTTAGTAACAATAGTGTGTATCCAGATTTAGTGTTATCTAAAAACCGTAATTAATAATAAGATTAGTATAAACTCGAGCTAACCGATCAGTTATTAAAACTAATTATGTAAGTATAATGATAAAAATGAAAAATATAATTGTTATTTTGGCTTAAGCAGATGGCCAAAGCAAAAAAAGGCGATACATTCAGTTTAGTCTCAAAAATTCTATTCGTTCATGCTAATTTTTGGTTTTCGCTGTTAGGAGAATAGGTTCAATAGAGCTCGATAGACATCTTTAAAACCTGCCTTTGCATGAACGCTGTGTTAGAATAAGACTTCGCTCCATTACTGTGTACCATGATATTTGGATTGTGGTTTAGTGCAGTTCAGTTCATTTTGTCCCAAATTACCCTCACAATTGTATGTAATACACAATGAGGAATATCTTAATATACGTAAGGCTTTGGAATATACCATTGCTATTATTTTTTATTTATTTTAACACAGATATTGGTACAAGGAGGCACCAAATACATATGCGCCACATAAATCTCATTTGATACCACTGCTATGTAAAAAAAGGCATTACTTCTGCCTGCATTAAGCCTATACTTCTGTGACTGAGTCAGCCTAGTTTGCAGATATCAAGGTTAAATTTAAATAATGTGGTGTGATTCATTATCTTCTTTTCATTGGTGAGCTTTATTTCAAAAGCTTATCATTTTTATTACATTGTTTTGCTGGTACTATTTATAGCTGTTTCGTATCCTAAACCCCATCTAACCTTTCTCCAGGCTGTTTACAGCCATTTTCCAGAGGATCAGAGATGGCAGTTGTTACCTGTGCCCCTCACACTTTCTCAATTCGAAAATTTACCACTTACAAAGTCTCAGTTTTTTAAATGTGCAATTGATTTCTTACAACAACATCACGGTGTTGTTCGAACTCAGGATGGTTGTCTGAGAATGACTCTAGGGTTTTGGCGTCCTGGAGGTTTCACTTATAAATTACAGTATTTGGTTACCAGCTACAACAATCCTGACCTTGACTCACTTACTGCATATCCAAGCGAACTGACAGACCAAGTTCCTAATTTGAATGTTGATTTGAAGTGTTTCGTTTTACAAGAAACAACGAAAGATCGTTTAAACTTTTTCTTTCGACTCCCAGCTTCTGGAATTTACTACCTCACCATATATGCTCAGGTAAGTTCTAAATAGTCGTCTATGAACTGTCCGTATATATATATATATATATATATATATATATATATATATATATATATGTATTACAGATAAACTGAAAATGTAACTTTAAGGCATCTTTTTACCTCCTGTATAGTCAAATTTCTATTTTGTAAACCACTACGAAACAGTTCTTTATCCCTTTGGATGAGCGATTAATAAGTACTTCAGTATCATCTTTTTGTATAGTTGTAGTTTAAAAATAATGGATCATTTCTGAAACCAGTGTAACGTCATGCCTTTACTTAGAATCGAATTCTTTTCCCACTAGGTTCGTTAGCTGTTTTGCTTGATTTAACAGTTTAAACAGAGCAGACTCTCTGCCGATGTTTTCGCATTAAAAGTTATCTGTATTAATCAACATTTTGAATCAAGAGTACCTCTGTTTTTATACCATCCAGTTGATTACAAGGTGCTCTCTCGTTCAATACGAGTACCTAGACTATTTAATCTTTTTCAATACTCATATCTCTTTCGACGTTCAGGACTTTCCTAGCAGTGGCTTTATACACGTGGCCATATGATAGCGTTTCGAGAGGAAGAACCGACTTTCCCCACTCTCAGCCATACCAGGGCATATATATATATATATGTATATATATATATATATAGCACTAGGATAATTTACCGGGATTCTACTAGTAATTAATTCAATGTCATTTTTTTCTCGAAAATTATTACTAACCGTGTTTATTATCATCTGATGGTATTTCATAATATTGTAATCTGAAAACGAGTCTAAAATATAAATGCCATTTGTAAGTACATTTAAATGTATGTAACTTTGGTTAGTTGTGTTTCAAAATTTAAGGTTATACTAACCACTATAATTGGCAATCTGAATGAAAATAAATTTTGTGCTAACGAATAAAAACTAATTATTACACTTTAACAGTTAATTGTATGTTTTTTTTTTCACCATCTATTCTGAAATAAGTGAAGTATAGTACAAGTTGTTTCGTCCAATGCCTATAAAGGTTAAATGGTTGTAGTAGGCAAATCTCGATTAAAAGTAGGATAAAGTTTCTGGAATTAGAGTTAGATAAAACTTAATGCTAATAACTACTCATTCATGATATACACAACTCACCAAAATCAGATAAAACAAATGTTTAGACTTTTAGTTCATTTTTATAGTGAAATATTTTATTAGTAGTGCCATTGCTGGGTGGCGAATAAAATTAATTACTAACCAAAGTTAAGCATAATAAACAACGACAAATTATAGATGCATATAGTGAACCTTAGATCACATTTTTTGTTTAAGGTCTGGACGTATGTTCGACTATTTAAATTATGAAGCTGAGAGAATAAAATTGAAATATGAAACTTAGCGACTGTAAGCAAAGCGTCTAAATAATTTAACTGTGACTCTAATATGATATAACTCGTTATTTTTTCAATGCGTTGTGTGAGCTTGTTTTCTTAGTCATTTGATTTGATGGTCAAAATCTTAATATACTGAAGAGTAAGTAACCTTCAAAATCTACACTGCGTAATCGCTCATTTTAATATATTTCATTTATAAGAATGTTTTCTTATTAGGTTAAGAAATGCACTTTGCTGGGTAGTGATTTTGTCCTGATATCAGCTGATTTCGAAGCTTACATTTGTAAATCGGTCTCGTCAGTAGCCATCATTCGGCCACTTTGTATCATCGTATATCATATATCGGTCAGTATTAAATCAATCGACTTAATAATTTAAAAGCACACATATACAATTCTCCTCCATAATATTCCTATTTGTTCAGGGATTTATCTTCTGGTGGTTTCTTGCTCATTCTTATGTTCATCTTTTCCACACTAGTCGTTCAGTTTTTTGCTATATTATCCCAATTACCGCTACATATGGGACTTCATACATTAGTTCATTAGATACTTTTTCCTAAAAAATTAGTTGTATTTTCTGCTATAATTAACCAATTTATTGATATGTTCACTTCATATTTGGATATTATACATGCTTTTTGTGAATGCTTTTGTTCTAAAACAATCAACATTTGTGAAGTTTATTTTTCCCATAACTTCAAAGGAACTATCAAGTCTGGCTGTTGGTCGCGAAAGTACTTTTCGAGCCGCTTGCGAATATAAAATTATATGTAGCTCACCAGCACGAGATGCCCAACCGTACCCAATTTGTCATGATGCTAATTGGGGACCAGCTTGGTCTCATGTACATCACTATGCTCTTGAACCAAGCCATACAGAGGGTGTGATCAGTATACCTAACGAATTAGATTCCTCAGTTAACTCCAACGGAAATCACACACCACTACCAAAAACGGTTGATATAGGGTTTCAAAAACACCGACCTGAGGTTAATTTACTAGCAAAACTTCATCGAAATGGAGTGTCGGACGACTTTCTTGATCAGTATCAACGTGTCACAGAGACAGTGCGTGAAACTTTATTTCATGTCACTCTACCTGAACCTGGTAAGTTTTATTAGCTACTTATATAATTTGTTTATTATTTGAATTATTCATAAACCTCGCTAAACTAAAACTCGATTGCTCGCTTATATTGAAAATGAAGGTTCCGTATGTTCCAAATTTCAAGATGGTCGACTCATTACATGTTAAAAATTGTCGGATATGATCGAAAAGTATGAACACAATTTTTGGTAAATTTTGTTTTATTCTTGACCATAATATCAATCCATCTTGTTTTAAGTGAGTAGAAGAGAATTTACTGAAATTCACATTTATCGACAATCTTATTTTGACACTATCTCGGTTGTTAACAACCATGTATATTCCATTTGGCTTCTAGCTAATTTCCACTTGAACTGCTTAACTCTTGTGACCAAGTTTACTTTATTTCGCAACTTACATGATGTTGATGTTTTCATACAAATTTAAGACTGAAACCATATTGCTACCTATCTTGGTTAGTGTTTAATTAGTTAACTTAATACAAGTCAGTAGACATTTGCGGTTTAGACCACTTGGTAATATGATATTGTTCATATACTAATGCTGTCAGTTACAATGTAGAAGATAAAACTCCGTACGTACTAAACAACTGTTTCAGTTTGGTTTGGGACTCTTCCTTAGAAGAAATCATGATCCCAAACAGGAACCGAAATTTCAACATTTCATGCTTCACCGACAGTATAGTACCTTCTCATAGCAATAAGTCGAAATTCAATATAGACCACACTATCAACTTTTATAAATTTGTGATATGGTTTGATCCTGATCTAATTATCACCAACGAGTTACTATTTTACTGTCGACTTAGTTGACACTATGGATTATGGCATTTTAACTTACAAACTTACAGAAATCCATTTTGAAACTAGCCATTAGTGAGCCCACGATTGTGATGAGTAAACATTTTCTCGGTGTGCTCATTTGTTCTGAGTAGTTCCTCAAGGGTGGTCAAATCAAGACATGGCATTAATCCATAGTCATTGACTGTTGGACTGAGTCATATAGGTAGGTGTATAATTTACTTTGTCGGGGTGTGGGGAACTATCGTAATCCGTGTTTAGAGATTCTAGTTCATATTACTCAGCGTTGGTTACAATAGTGCAGTTGCATTTATTATTTACCTTCCCTCAGATCTTAAGTTTTTAAACGGATTATAGAGCTTCGTTTTTATTAATTTACATTTCCTCGAAACGTATCTTAAATCCTCAGTCTTTTCTACCGCACCAGTACAATCATTAAATCCACTACTCTTAGATTTCCCCTGACAGTTTCATCTCGTTGTACCAATGGGGTTTAACAACCTGAATCGTTGTAAAAAACTTAGGCGTTACGTTACATTTGACTTGCTGATTGACTGACTAACTGACTGAGCAAATGAATATGTTCACAATTACTAAATGTCACAATTATGATCATTAATTCTTAAGTTTCAAATTCATAACATTTGTCCGACTCTTAAACCGTTTTCAATGCCTTCCGATTGTAGCCGTGATGTATACAGGTCTTTTAGATATTCTTGGTATGATTTTCACTGTAGGAGCTTGTGAAATCTTATTTTTCATATTGTGCAGACTTCACTGTGTTTATAATTCCATGTAATATTTTGTCGAATGTTAACCTACCAGATAAATATCGTCCAAGTTATGTCTTTTTAATTGACTTGGGAAATGATCAAAAGTAAAAATAATGAACTTACCTGAAAATGTGATTTTTGCGAAAAATATAATCATAATATTATTTGAAATAGCTCAATACAAAATTGTTTTTGGGGAAGGATTATGTTTTATAGATACAGTGTCTGTGTGTGTGTGGTCTTATCACTACATGAACTTTCGTTTATTCGTCACCGGTTGACTTTGTGTTTCTCGTCACATGCATCATGTATGGACGTTGGTAAGTATAACCACTAGAGTGAACATTCTGGATACACGTATTTATGCTTAATTCTAAATTATTATTTTAATACAGGTGAGTTTATGATGACAAGAATCATTCTATTACTTATTCTGTATCCGGTGCCTAAGTAAATTTCCTACAACAACCAATTAGTAATTTTTCTATGACCTATTTCCCGCTGATCGTTAATTGATAAGCTTTATATTTACAATTAGACTAACTTTTCGTTGATCTGTTTAAATATTTAATTTCTTAATTTGTTGAGTTTGTAGAGGTTAATTCCTCTATATCTGACTCCAATAAATATTGTCCCCCTTGACTAAGTATTTTACGCAGGCCAAATATCCTAATAGTATTATGAATCTACTCGAGATTATTCAAAAACCAGAACACCAGTTGTAGGGATAGTATATTTTTAATAATTGGTAAAATCCTCAAGCAACGCAGAAAGCAAGCACAGAGGAAAGTGAGTGAGAGAACGTAGAGAACAAAGCGAGACGAATCGGAGAAGGTGTATGAGCCAACTCAATTTAATCAAGCGTTAATCGATATTCATAGTCAGACAAAAATAAGTTACATAAATGTGATGAGTAAGATAAGAAATGCACACACATACGCTTACATAAAACAGTCAGTGTTGATAAGCGAATAATTAATCAAGAAGAATGAATAAGTCAGCCTATCTGGAAGCTAGAATAACCTATGCGTGCTCGACTTAGGGCCATCCACTACAACAGTGTGCATTTACAACCCCGAAGGTCCTAAGTTCTACAGATTCGTAAATAAAAGTAGATTTTACATTTTCACTGTTTCTCTTTATTATCGTCATGTTAATTATGTTCATTTCAAGTCTAGTAAAGCATATTATTAAAATATAATCTGCAAATAAAACAAAACATCTACTTATATGGCAATCTGTCGTTCTCGAATAAATACCTTAAGTCTTTTCATACTTCGCCCTTCATTTTCCTCCAACCAGTCACTGAGGCCTAAAGTGGTCACGTCAATAATGATGAGTACACATTCTCAGCGTATTTAATGTGAAAACTTAGTATGTACACTTGAGTAACTCTACATCTAATCTATTTCTAATTAGATACATTAGTTGACCATGTGACTTGTAGATGTGAATGCGTAGATCAATGACTTCATTGAGTTAATTATTCTATAACTGCACATGGATAGTTGTTTGTGCTTTTTTCTATTCATAGTTTATTCGGAATTGTTTATTCCAATTGTGAATATTGTGTTATCGTGATTAGAATTTGTGATTATTCGTTTGTTATATGTCGAAAGAAACAAGCGGGACAGCAACACTCAATCGTCATTTGCATATAGCAGGACAATTGTAGAAAAAAAAGAGAGAGTACTTTTAGGTGTGTACTGATTTTTTGGACACTGAATCGGAGTGAAGGGATGCTTATATATATATATATATATATATATATATATATATATATATATATATATGTTTACGGTATATACAAATCCAACTATATTTTTTTCTTACTGTTTTCCTTCGAAAAACGATATTATTATATTGAAAAATACTATTCATAAAGACTTTGTCAAAAATTTGATATGTGAACCTAATCACTACCTTCTTCGACGGAGACAATGTTTATTGGTAAAAGAATAGGTTGGAAAAAAGCTTTAGGTAGGCCAAACTGAGACATGGCATCAGTTCATAAAGTTATTGACTGTTCGATTGAGCCGTGTTGGTGGTTGCAAGCTATCAGGTTAGCGTTTTTGTGATTATTTAGACTAGTGGTTGGAGACATTGAGTTGACACGCCTCAGAAACATTGACAGTAGCGCAGATACATTCACTTCCTATCCTCCTCGCGATCTTGATTTCCACTATTCTTCCACATATGACTTTCCACTCTGTCTTTTTCAAGCCTCTTCTCAATAATTGGTCTTTCTCATTATCATTTTTATCACATTTCGCTATATACCTTGTTAATTTAGTTCACCGTGCTAATGTGGTATGACAACTTAGGCCAATACGTATCTGCTTAAGGCTGCGTATTGATGACGACCGACCGACTGACTGATTAGGAGCTTATCTCAGAGGACATGATATATCAGTGTAAAGTTGGCCTCAACACTTTTAAAACTAATTTCATAAACTCATTTTTTATTGGTTGTTTAGATCTTCCCACTGACGTTTAAGACTGCAAGTGATCAGTCTCTTATTGGCATATTTACATTCTGTACGAATTTCCTCGGTTTCGCTTTAAGTCATAAACATTATGAGCAGAGATGGATGGTGGCTAGCAGTGAAATGCAGGAGGCGCGTTTCGTCCTGTTTGGGACTCGTCAGCTGGATGTACATGCATCCCAACCAATATAAAAAACGAATTAAACTTTACCCCATTCCACAAGCTAGCGGTTATATGAACTCAGTAGCTAAGTGAATAATGTGATGACGGTACTGGGTCCCGGAGTGAATATTGACTCTGGTATGCGGATACACCAAACTGATGAGTCCTGGATAGGACAAAATGCGCGTCTTGGATGCCACTTCTAGCCACCATCTATTTCTGCTTATGATTTGATCAATATCAAAAAACTTTCGGAGCAATGAATCAATAATTAAGGTGTTCTACTTTTAGCCACTTAATCACAGGTTTGAATCACACTCCACCTATTTCTGTCTACGCAGCCTGATTGGTAGTATAAGACTTAGAGTATGGCTCGAATTCAATTAAGTGAATCTGTACCTGTTAAAATTCAGTTACATTTAAATAGATAGTAAACTTGTTGATTTCTTGTTCAATCCAATCCTGAAACTACTAACAATTAAAAATCTGAAATCATATTTTCGTTAAATAAAATGTTTTCATCATAATTCTACTGATGTCTACTGGATTGTAATTATATCTTTAAAAATGCTGAAGGTTCAGTTTAATTCTAAATATGAACAATAACGATATCATTCAATTGAATGTAGGTACATTCGATTCGATTCACGCTTCCTAATTCCAAGATGAAATATACATCCTGGGTTTCTTCGCACATTCTTCATCAAATCACAGCTGGTTTTATTTCACTTTCAAATAAACTAAGATATTCCAAGTAGAAATATTTTATTTTTCTCTTCCTACCAAGTTCTACATTCACTTACTCATATGTACATATTTAACTATTGTTGTCATTCTCTTTCCACTTTCTACCATCTATATGACAACAACAAAGAATTAAATTATTATGCGTGTATCTTCCCTAATCTGTATACTTTCTCTTACTAGCACTTGTTTTTTTCTTTTCTGCTTCTGACACGATCTATGTATATCTTCTAATTTCACTTCTATCATTCTATCCATGACTCATCGACTAACCAGTCTACTGTAAGCAGTTAATTAACTGTTGTAAAAAATTCCGGGTGGGGTTAACCCCTATTGGTAGAATAGTTAATTTTCTTTCAACTATACTTCAGATATTGGGATTCACTACTTACTAGCTTTTACCATAATAATAGTAGTCTGTACCAATCAATTTCATTGTTACATAATAATAACCATTTGTCCTCTTCTTTTCTTTCCCTAAAAAAACAACTCACATTTCTTTCTTCGGTTTTCAAATTCTTTCGTTTTTATTGATTCCATCCTACTACTATGTGTACAAGGTGACCGTTGTTTGCACTCCAAGCTATGTCGAACTTTACGTAATTCGATCAATAATAATAACGGTAAAAACAATCCATCTGCTGTTTTATCATCTACGACATCGATCTTATTTATTTTTCATTTTTATCTCTCACTGTGGATTGTATAGTTTGTGTATAAAATGTGTGTAGTTCACTTTTCTCATATGTTGTATTTTTTCAGTAACTATGTGTTCGTCGCTTAGTCATATGAGGGAGTGACTAATTTCAGTTCGTCTAGTTGTGAATTTTCTCATTAATTTAATATTACATATATTTGAAATTTTTTTTCTAAAAAAAGGTTGTGTATGAATTGAAAATGTGTACACAATTCATTCTATTATGACCTTAGGTTATTTAGATTGTGACCTTCAACAACACAAAATCAACCAATCAATCACTGGAATAAGTTCACTGATATCGTTATTATTAAATTGTAATCAACAAGTTCCGATAATGCTTAGTGTGACCTCAATTTGATATAGAAAAAAAAAACGATGGATTTTTTAAAACAGTATTTTGTTATTTAATTTCAGCTGATACACGATAGCTTTGCATTATATTATTGTTCTGTATCTAAGCTTAGAACCTTTCAGGAACACTCAATTTTCAACTATCCGTTTGTAGTTCCAAACTCCGCTTCTCTTAGTTTGGTTTAAACAGTTGTTTAGTATCACATAAATAGTGTGACATGAAGCCCCAAATTCATGGATTTGTACTTGACAAATAAGATACTTTCAGTGGATATACGCAACTCCTTAAATCAGATATTGAATTTCGAATTCTTGTGGTATGACATTGATGGCTGCCTGTGATATCATGAATGATTTAAAGTTTTTTCCACTTTGCTGTATACTACGCCAGTACAATAATATGAAACTAAGACTGGTCTGGGTGACCGAGTTTATAATATCGTTAGGTTGAATACTCAAACGATATACTATGTACGTTATATCAGACACACGATAATGTATAGCATTGACTGATTCAGGGGGTAAATCTTTAGATTTTTTAGAGCGACTAAAGAAAATTGCTCTAAGTAGGCAGGTATTGAATATGCTTCTTTAGTTTAAGTTGCTAAATGACTACCACTGAAAACCAGGAATCAATTAAATTCTCTTTCCCCTTATTATGAAACTGTTCATCTGTGCGCATCCATAACCCCATCGGGATCGAACCCAGAAACTTCATTTCTTGCAGCGAGAGCTTCATACTCAGACCGTTAAGCCGACGTCCATTGATTTTCATTACTAACTTCAGTCGATTTACAATGTTGTAAAACTATCATCCAACTCCATCGCCGAGTAACTCTCTCACTCCCGACATGGTTGAACTCTATTGGTCATGGTTACTCATTCGAATTCCTGGTATTATATCTTGAAAGTATTCACTAGAGACGGAGTTGTAGAGAATGTTTAATTTCTTAGTTTTCATCACAGATTAACCTTGAAGAGTGGAGCAGGATTACCAAATTATTAAAAATGTAACAAACCAATAAGAAATTTTTTTGTCACTACGAAAATAAAGTGCTCTTCGTGTGTGCAATTTCCGCATGTGCAAGTGGAAACTAAATTACTACAAAGAAATATCATGTGATAAAGACGTTTTTCTTTTGCATTTAGTCATCTTAAACAATTTATTAATTTCAAAGACTCTACCATCTAATCGATTCTGTGATACGAAATACATAGTTTTTTTGTTATAGTATACTGATATATCGGTTTACTAGTTTAATTAAATTACACTTTGATTATTTCCCTTCGTTTGTACTTTTATGATTACTTACTACATCCACTACATTGTAATAATTTTTATATATAATTTAGGTGAATATGGACTTGAAGTATATGCAAATGAACCATCTGAAGGTGATACGTATACACATATGTGCCAATATTTAATACATTATGAATATCCATCAAACTGGAGTAATAATTGTATACCACGATTAACAACTGCTGGTGCAGATGCCGGTCCATCCCCTGTTGCTCATCAATTTTGGCATTCTAATGAAAGAACTAATAATAACACACGTAACGGAAATTTACCAAAATACTTATCTGCAACTTTTAATGAACCATCATTGAATAGTAGTGGTTCATTAAGAGAAATGTACAATTATGAATTAGATGCACCGCCAATCGGAAATTTGCCTAAATTATATGCACACTCACAATACGAAAATGCAAATCAGGTAATCAAAGAAATACCTATTATATATATAACCCTAAATTCTACTGAGTAACCAATACAAAGATTAGACATAGGGTACCAGGTAAAGATGATAAATCGATTGACGAGGCAGTAACTCTCCATCAACTGATATGATTAGGACATGTGTTACGTATGCTCAACAACCACTTATCGTGACTGGCAACTTCGTCTAGTATAGGAGTAATATTGTAATAAAGCTACGGACAGCCAAACCAAAACATGACACCAACCTTTGAAGTCATTGATGTGCCAAGAAATGAATACAAAACAGCTCTCTAATGTCATCTAGAATTCAACAGTTCTCTAGAAGATATCAATCTATGACATGTAACGGACAACCCCTATTGACTCTATGTCCTTACATTACCATTTATCATAAAATTCAAATGGCATTTGTACAAGAATGGTTATTCTGCCCATCTTTCATAAAACTACTAAGAAGTATCTCAGTTTTGGCTAGAATCTTTATTTTATGTATTTTCCGAAAAAAAATCCTACTTAGCACTTGATATGAATAGCGCATAAAAAATGAATTGTCCATGAACATGTAAAAGTACATGGTACATGCATTTTTTATCCGAAAATATTGTTATTATTAGTAGTATCAGTATTAGTATTGAGAATAATAATTTATTTCTTAGTATTCTGAATGTAAATTGCGTTTTCTAGTTTGACTGACCTGACATTTTATGCATCAAGTTATTTAATATTACTGTGATAATATTATTTATTGAACGTTTCATATTTTTGTATGAATTAGTAAATGACAATATCTAATCTTCATAAAATCAATATATTTTGTGAAGAATGTTGAACGATTTAAATGCTCTAAGGAACTTGCAGGTAATGAATTTTAAGCGGTGGTATGGTTGGCTTCCCCACTATTTAACTAATACCTTCATATCAACCTTAATGAACAATACTTTCTAGTATATCTAGTATCTCTGGGCCTTACTGCTGACCACATCTTATCGATAAAGCTACATTTTACTTGGTATTAAATTGTCCGAAGCATTTGGTTGAACGCGATCAGAACTACTAACTTTAACATTTAACCTCACTTACTTCCTACTATCTGATTAATACATTCAGATTAGTCTTATGGGAGACCAGTTTTAATCTGAATATTTCAGGCGTAGCTATGTTAATGACTGATGCGTGTTTGAAAATCCGACGGAGCGTCATTTGCCCGAATCTTCGTAAATATGCCTTGCTGGTAAGTGCTAACTAGTAAAAAAGAAGACAAATTTACAGCTTCCTACTATTCAGTACAACGTAGTGTAATTTGGCAACATCTGCTTTAGCTATAAACCAGTATGGTAATTACATTGTGATTTAAGGAACATGTAACATATATTTTGGTGAGTCTTTAATTTGATCTATTGTGTAATGTTCCATTATCCATTGAAAACCAGGCAGTGCTGGAAAGCCGTTTAGTTCCAGTATAGAACGCCTCAACAGAGCGCATCCATAAACCCCACTAGGGGATCGAATCCAAAAACCCTGTATCTTGTATCTTTTTATAGTTATCCATAAATAAGTAGTCCACACTCTAAGTTTGATTGTTAACGATATATCTCGGTTGCCCAAATCAAAGTAGTTGGAGCGGGGTTTGATCCTGAAACGTAGTGGTCGAAAGTCAAATGCCTTAATCACCAAACTACCGCTCCACTTGGTGATTGTCTGATTAAGGTTAGATTATGTTATAAACTATAAAGTTCAACAATCTCCATAAACCTTTATATGCATTTCAATTTTAACAATATTTTACAACTTAATATTTTTCTGGTTTCCACTTCTCTTACTTCATTCCATAAATTTATATAATACTATGTAGTACAGGTTTGTTGTTGCTGTAAGACAATAGCTTTGACCTTTCCTTCTTTTTTATTTTCTATATTTCTTACTAATGTAGTTCGATTTAATTATTGGTTTCGTGCACCATAATGCTTTATTTATGTTAACATTACCTTAACATTTTTTAAAAAATGTGATTCGGTTAACTTTGTTATTTTGACTGAAATAAGAAGTTATAATTTTCTTCTATCATTAGTTCACCTCTCCCACTGCTTACTTCGTGTATTTCAATATAATTAAATGTGTTGTTTTATGTAGGATAATGAATCAGTGGCTTTTTTGACATTTGTCTATTAATAATCATAAATCCATAAAGGTTTATTCATCCCGTTTCCTAACAATATGGTTTGAATAATTGTATAGTGTAGTATATATATATTAATGAACATCGAATCCTATGTGCATAGATATTAAGTTATTTCTTAGGAAATATAAGGCAACTGAAATTTCATCAATTAATAAAAAAAAGCATAGATTTAACGTTCTTGGTTCGAGTCTAGTTGTGAACATCAACACTGAAGTACTGGCACATCCGTTTGATGAGTTCTAAATAGAACGAAACATAGCTCTTGAATCCCACTGTTAACCTTGATATAAAATACACAATTAAAACTTATAACTACAGCTAATACTGAAATATCTACTCAGATTGTATATTTGTCAACACGGACTGATCAAAATTCCGTCCTGAGTGACAAATATGTGATAACAAAGCACTCATGCTACCATCTGTAGTTAGTTTAAGTAGTTTAATGTATGTTAGGAAAGGTCATATGAAACACATTCATAGCATGTTCACTCTTTAAATTGCCTACCCACTTATCGTGAACGTCCAAACAATCATCATTATGAAAGCTTCCATGAAACATCAGAAAAGCAATATATTCTGGAGTAATTACGATTACTTACAATTTCATTTCTTTTATTATTATGAAGCATGTTTTGAGATATTCGGTCTACAAGTTAAACTGAAATATTTTTTCACTTCATTTATATGCAAATAGTGACTGCTTTTTGAAAAATTACTTGTTTAACGGTATGCCAAGAAACTTTGTAACCCTATTAACCATCGATATTCTTTTCAGTGTGTTGTATAACGATCATTTGTGTATCTGTTACTAAATCGTTAACGGTTATTGCTCTCGCATAACTCATCAAGTATACATCTTCAGCTGAGGTTATTGTGACATCTATTAATAATCCGAAGATCTTCGGCTCGTACCGAGATTTCATCTGTACTTCACAGATATTCCTTTATATACTACTGCTTGATTGCCGTAAAAACGACAAAACAATTGATGGGTGTAGTGAATCCCTGTCGATCGATGTGGTAAAAACTTGTACTACATGTAACCAACCACCACTTACCTCGACGCGGAATATTTGCTGATATGGTAGTAGGTAGGAAGATAGGAGCTTCCAGATCAGAACATGGCATCAGTTCATGAAGTTGGCTGTTTGGTTTAACCAGATTATTAGATGCGGACTTCTGGGTTAGCGTCCTCGCTATTATCCTGACCAGTATTATAGGCATATTCATCTTATCTTCCCTTTGAATCTTGGGTTTTTGAACTATCTTACCCCGTTTTATTCTACGAATTCACTTTTTCTCAACTCTTATTCTCTATCCCTTGTTGTTACTTCTACTAGTTTGGTATTTATGTTAACTTTTTCATCTGTCTTCGCTGCGATAGTGTGATGACTTGAACTGTTGCATGTACATCCTAGCTATACATTGTTTACGGCTAAATGACTGACTTTACTATGGTTCTCATTAATGTACTAACTTGAATTTGACACTTTTTGTAAACGAATTGTTTCATCATTTAAAAGCGATTATCATATATGTAATTTTTACTTCTTTCTGTATGCTTAAAAAACACTCCAGCCTAATTTAAATCGTATAAACAATTACTCAATGAATAATAATGATAATTTATGCAAACCACCGTATGGATATGTACCTTCGAAAAGTAATCATCTTATGAATAATGATCCTACAGCTTCACCACCCATTGTACCGTCCTCCAATGATCGACTATCAAATTTAAACCAAAATTTCTCTAATATCAAACTTAAACAAGTATGTTATGCTTTATTTTTATGTTTATATATATACATTCATCATTTGTTACAATACAGTATTTAAGTACTAGTGTACATACTCAGTTTAAAGCTGAAAATCCTTGATTCCTGATTAAATCTCAAATTCTTTGACAGCTAGGCTATCATTCAATTTCAGAACCATTCAAACTTCAAACACTAAACTATAGGTTTGAACTCTGTTTCGCTACTTAGCACAATTCTGTTAGCCAGGTGGTGGTATTTCCAGTCTTTATACATCATAAGAAGTTTGTCTACCGGCTAACATTAATGATGACAGCATGATTGTTTTTAGGTAAGAAGTGTAAATAAATTGAGGAATTTTTTCTCATCTTAACATGACTGAATATAAGTATTCTGTACATAACTGTTTTTACGTGTATATTAAATCTATGTGTTGGATTGGATGGCTTTTAGAGTGGTCAAATAAAAATAGTGTATCAATATACCATACCATTACCTGTTAAGCTGAACTGTATAATCAACTGTAAGCTTAGTAATTAGGATCCTTATGATGCCATAAACGTATCCGTCTTAAATGTTTACACCCGCTGTTAATTATTCAGAAAAGTTTTATTGTTCAACTTATTATTTGGCATCTTTCCGCTTTCGTTAGTCTTTATACTATTCTATACTCTTTTTTCATAATTTTTATTTCCGTTTGCTTGTTATTTTGTATTTCAAAGTGTTAACATTTAAAAGCGGATATACTACTTCGACTAATTTCGTCTTATATTCATAATTAGTTTATTGAATTTCTTCAGTAAACTGATGCAGTCATCACGAAAACTCAAAGAATACTATGCAGTAATATATTTTCAATTAATTTTAAAAGTGTATTGTAAAATGACAAACACTATAATCGTAGAAATCAAACAAAATTTCCTAAGAACTTTACTTCTAGATACATCAATCCATCAATCAGCATGATATTGATACACCTAATCAACACTTTAAGGTCAAAAATTCAAGTTATTTTTATGATTTTCAACCAAAATAATTTAAATTCTCTGAAAATATCTGGCTAATTTTGACTAATTAACTCAATAGTTGGGCACTGAGTATATGAGAAACATTGCAAATTAAATTTTATTTGGACAATATGATATTATTTGTAAAATAGTGTACACCAACGGACTAGGCGACTTGAATTTTCTAGTCTTCATTTCGATCGAATTGGAGAAATCCGAATAGCTTGATATAAATTTATGACTGTGATACTGCGAAGCATGGTTTTGAATTGTTAAGTTAGCATCGATTTCCTCCTGACTTCAGATCTACCTTGCTGAATAGTATTAAGGTTTATCGCTTCCTATCGACCAACCATTTAACCACTCATTTATGAATAGAAAGATTCGAGACGACGTTAAAAAAGTAACTGGGAGATATTTCTCTATTTTATTCATTATTCGAAATTACTTTTCTCATCAGAATTTCTAACACCGTTCTGATATAAAATTTTGTATAACTAAAAGATCAGTTATAAACTAGTCAGAATGTGTATAAAATTATGCTGAGAATATTTTTGTACTGCATCATTTGAATATATATATCCTGCGAAGAATGTTACTATGTAGTTCATCACTTTGAGATCTGTCGCAGAAGTTAAGACCTATCATAATTTTCTTTTGATGTTGCTATCGATGTACAAGTTAAATAAGAAAATATTCATCCATTGGTTTTCTTTTCATGATGTGTTGTTATTCCCAATCGTTTAAGAAAAAAAAGGACTGAGTAGTTTTGTTATTCTAAGTTGTATTGTACTGATGTGCCTATGCATGCCGACCACAAATCATACAAATGAATAGGTTTCATTTTATTTGAACCTGTGTTTATGTAGTCGCTTGTTTCGTTGTTGTTGGGTTTTTGGTTTTGAAGCATTTTATTGAAACGAATTTAGTGCCCCAATGTTTTTAATGTTTGAGCGTTCTCCGCGAGGCTTGGTCTTAGATTTGACTGCTGATGGAGCCGTGGGTGCTCATTGTTGAGTAGTCCCACACAGGGACAAAAAACCATCCTGTGCCCCCTGGCTTTTAACGGCATCCCATCTAAGATCAATTTTCTGGTGAATACGTCTTCCAACTAAGCAGAGAGATGCTTGCAACTTATATATCTATTAGGTGCATATTGGCATTCGTGGGATTCGAACATGAACGACTCAATTCCGCAGTCTGAGAATCCCCTTGTTCGCTCGATTCTTACACGTATTTTAATTTTAGTTTCGTAATTTGCTACTTTGAAATTCGAATTTATCTGATAAACAGAATACAGTCATTCCATTCTCTGAACTACAATTATATCTATAAACTACGTATTTAACTTAGATCAATCTGCCTTCTCGATGTACTCATGTTTATTCTTCTTCAAAACTCATCTTCATATAAAATTACAGATAACACTCAGATTCTTTTACCAGTCTAAATGAACAAGTCTATAGTGCTAACGAATGAATACAACTGTCCAACGTTCATTCAAGGTTTTGTGTGTCAGTCGATAGTATATATATACTGAAAGATGAAAATAAATTTCACCCTTGCCTTTCATCTGTTACGTGTCTCGACGTCTTAGGAAAATTCAGTTCACATTATGTTCTCTAATAGAGTAGTGATAATCATTTTCTTGTTATGAGATTTAGCTAATGAACTACTAGAATAATTGGAAAGTAAAAATACATATTTTTATTTCTTAAATTATGTTGACACTGCAATTAACTTAAACTGAAACTAATCTCTCTCCTTGGTAGTCAAATATTGAAGAAAATGTAAACGGTGTAGTTGTTCATTTATCAAACAGCCATTTGATTTGATAACGTCTGTTTATGCTTTCACTTGTGTGTGTGTGTGTGTATGAGTGGAAGGATATTATGTGTTTACTAATGTTTTTATCTACGTTGCTTTACTCAAATTTCTACTACAATGTAACTTTACAGCTGTGTAGCTATGTACAAAGTGATCAACTCTTACTAATTACCATTTTTGATAGTTGATTAGTTTTACTGTATTTCTGATCTATGTGATATCGATTATTTGTTTCGTATTATCATATAAAGTTCTCCATCCCAATTTATTAGTTAAGATAGAACGTTTGTGAAGTTGATCAGAAAACTGTTGTAGACAATCATTTATCTTTTCTTTTGCACTCGAATTATTAAAAACAATGGCGATCAACATTTCCTCAGTTTAGCTTCTTTAAATCGTTTTCCCCTTGATCATTCTCATCGTTTATTTTCATATTACAATTCTATTATATTGTGTGATTCGTCTCTCCAAGTTAGTGCGAACCATTTATCAAGCACACATGTTCTTATACGCTGTTTTTAAGGCATATTTTCTGTGTAAAACATGATAATGATACTACTACTAGCCAGCTGTCCTAATCTGAATTATTAAAAATATATTTTAAGTCTGCAGTTTAAAATTTAATCGTCGAGATTTTTAACCACTAGCTTGTTTTTTAAGACTAAAAGCAACGTTCTTAAAGAAAAGAATCGAGAATTCTAATGGTCAGGTAATAATATTCGGATCTATAGTCCCGACTTTATCTTAACTAATATTTCCCAACAGAAACTAGTCTATTAGTATCCTTATTATTAACTAACTTTAGTGATTAAATTCGTCGGTTCTTGTCTAAATAAATAATTAGGTGTTGGTGACAAAGATTGTTCTTTTTAATGCTCAGCTTCTGGTCGACTCAATCACATAGTTATTCGTCTAATAAACAACTTCAACCACAACTTTAATTCCATTGACATTTACAAAGTATTCATCTAACTTTGTGTGTACTTTTATCCACATAAATAAATAAATAAATCACTAATATTATTCGCAATTACATGAATTTTGGCATGATAAGCGTAAAAATAATAATTTTTTATAAAGATTTTAGAATCAATGAATTGAGTTTTGATCCGGATTTAAGTGTAGATATGTGAGATATCTACAAGAAAAGGTATTATTTCTTAATCTAAGTATAAATACGATTGTGCTGAGAATTCTATAATAAGGTACTTTTAAAAAAATGTCAATATATATTTTGTCTTTTATCACAATATAAATGACAAAAAATTCCCTTTATTTCCCTCTGATATAATTGACGAGTAAAATTTTTAACTCATTTAAAATGATATAATTTCAAAAATCGAAAAATATTTACTATGTTGGTTTCAATATAAGCACATTTATATATTGATAGTTACTTACACCACGAATTATGACAGTCAGTTAGCTATACGCAACGTAGAATCTGAAAAATATATGCATCGTTAGATAAAAATTATCAAGACAAATCTCAGAACAATAGAAGTGCTAATAGTATCAACATAGACGAAAAGCTCGAGTGTAGAAAGAAAGATGTAAAAAGTTATAGGGAGATTTCAGCACTCAGAAACTGAGGGAAGATAAATAATAAATGCAACTGCTCCACTGTAACCAATTCCGAGCTATATCAACTAAAATCTCTAAACACGGATTACGATAATTCCCCACACCCCGACAAAGTAAATTATACACCTACCTATATGACTCAGTCCAACAGTCAATGACTATGGATTAATGCCATGTCTTGATTTGACCACCCTTGAGGAACTACTCAGAACAAATGAGCACACCGAGAAAATGTTTACTCATCACAATCGTGGGCTCACTAATGGCTAGTTTCAAAATGGATTTCTGTAAGTTAAAATGCCATAATCCATAGTGTCAACTAAGTCGACAGTAAAATAGTAACTCGTTGGTGATAATTAGATCAGGATCAAACCATATCACAAATTTATAAAAGTTGATAGTGTGGTCTATATTGAATTTCGACTTATTGCTATGAGAAGGTACTATACTGTCGGTGAAGCATGAAATGTTGAAATTTCGGTTCCTGTTTGGGAACGTGATTTCTTCTAAGGAAGAGTCCCAAACCTAACTGAAACATTTTCCAGTTTATAGTTGGTTTCATTAGTTATCCAGCCGATTTCAATTTTCAATGTAAATTTATTTTCACGTTATTCAAAATTAATCACTCGATTTTTCATCATATCCCTATTATACAAGTCGTGGCAGTGTTTGACAAGAGTTAATTGTTATGAATGAATTATCAAATAGGTTATTTCTCCATCCCAATCAATATTATATGAGTTAGTTGCTTTCAGTCAACTGATAAAGCACGAAATCAGTACATCCTACGTTTGATAGTAATAGAATGTTTTCGATGGATTTTTTTCTCTGAGCTGGATGGTTTGGTCGTGGAGCTTTCATCGTTCTTATGAACAACATCATCCACCTGAGCTACAAATCTTCTCCACCATCTCAAAGTAATAGAATGTGTTATAACCTTACACTCTTAATCTTTATTTGTAGTAGATCAAGACAATCAGATTTTTACTCGTACAGTGCATCCTAAAATGTGCTTAAACCGAAATACAATGTTGATTTAATTGAATATGTATAGAAAGATTATACGAGTAGTTTTTCATTCATCTCATGCTCTTAGACATTCATTCGCCACTTACACTACTTCTATCTTGTCTCCTCACAAAATTTGGCAAAAGTCAAGATCGTTTGGGCCTTCTTTCCCTCTTATTCTACTATTTTGGAACACCATTCTCCTCGTTATACCGTACATGATAAGAATTATCGTGTCTTTGCCTGCGATTTGAGTTTCAGTCTCCTGTTGAGCGTGTTTTTAGATGCCGCGGGGGAAGAAACAATTATGAACTGATTAATTCATCTTGGTAATTATGGTACGTGGCTTTGTTCTTTCACCATGACACTCCTTTATCTCAGAAGGGATATGGGGGAGCTCTAAAAGGCCACAGTGTGTCAAGAAGCAGGCTCATGGTAACCTCAAAGTTTCTAGTTAGCTTGTGGCTCTGTATGTGGCATTCATAATGCTATCGAGTTATCCAATACTGGAACGATAGGCTTCATTAGCCGCTTCGCCTCCTATGAAATGGAGATTTTGGTTATGGTTTAGTAGCTGGGATCTTTTTCTAATTTCAGAGCGTTCTGGGATTATACAAACTATTGAAAAGAACAACCCTACATAATTATTTAATTGTTACAAATCACGCGTATTACTCAATGCATTTTTAGGTTAAATGCAAATTTATTCTGGGAGTTAGACTTTGGTTCATCGATTAATTTATCATCTGCTTGACTTTACTTTCAACACCCACACCTGTTGAATCATCAGTCAAGATTCATATATTGTCTGATAATATATTACTCATCTGTATTTAATGTGTGGGCTGGCACGCTGTTCAATACTCAAGACTGTTAAATGATGAACCCAGTTGTAGATATTCATAGAAATACAATATTCATTTATCAACAGTTTCACTAGACAGTCGGATTAGTAAACCATTATCAGAAAATGATACTGAAACGAGTAAGAGAGTGTTTTTTTAAGAACTCGATTGACATTCAGTGGTAACCTACAACTCGAGTAAGACTTTTCCATTGTAAGTAGTTTCATTTCCGTTTAATATTCTCCTTTCTGTTAATATTGCATAGTTTGCTGTCTTCTATTTCCTTAAAACTTTGTTATCTCTTGTTTTCTGTAACATTTTTAAATAGATTGTATCGAACTTTTTTTTATAAATAAATGCTAGATGTAGCTCATTTACCACGTACATTATTATTATTATTATTATTATTATTATTATTATTATTATTATTATTAATGGCTTTATTCAATATTATATACTCAGTTTTGTGCCATATGGTTTGTATATAGACTAGCGATTATCATTCAGTTGGCCCAAATTGTGATAAGTCGATCGGTGTTGAAGCTTGAGTCCAGATAGTTATAAGTTGAAGGTTCAACCATTAAGTAACCACCACTCTACATTATGTTGCTAAAGAAATAGAATTTCATTGGACCTGTTTATATAAATCAATCAGCTCCTATAGCGTTTCCACAAAGTCACAAATCCTTGATCTTTTCGTTGCACCACTATAAAAAATTACGCGTAAAATTTGATTCATATATATATTGATGAACATGTATCAGTCTTACCATTAAAAAGTAGTAAACACTATATCATCAGTTACGTTCTAACTTCTTTTTTTCTGTGTATTTGTACACACATTTGTCACACATATCTACAGACAGAAATACGCATATTATAATGTGCGCTGGTTAGTTTTGTCCCATTTTTCAACTTCGTATACAATATGGAGTAACCTAATTTATAGCCTCTTATATCTATAATACACACAAATGTGTATTCAACTTTGTTCTCATTTATTTTCGACATTATAACTGGCCCATGTATATTTACAAAAAGTAACATGTTCATTTCAAAAAACGCATGACCACGTGATTCTTATGTATAAGACCTATACTGTTTAAACGAATGTGTTTTTTTAATCGTATGGACTACCCATTTTCCGTGTCCATCGCGTATCACATTACCTTCAATTCATAATTCATTGGATTTCCAAAAAATCACGGTCAGAAAGAGAAAAAAACAATGATCGAATTTTTCCTCGTTGTTGTTTTCACAATTCTGAGTTTTGTTTTATTCGGCAAGGCATAAAAATAATAACACAGCAGCAACAACAATAACAAAATTTTCCAATAAATTGCCAAGACAACATATGAAATTAAAAATAATCTCATCGTTAAACCCTGTTTCAGCAAAACCAAAGCCGAAGTGTAGCCAGAAAAAACTGACTGTATAGTTAATAGCAAAAAAACAACAACAGTTAATCGTAATTTTGTTTATTTACGTGTGGGTGTACATGGTTTGAAACACGCCTTCATTTATTTGTCTGTCTTTTTTGTATTGTGGTTGGTTAATCTGAGTGAAAGAAAAGATGTGCTGTTATATTGCATAAATGTTGCTTAAGAATCGCTTTATTCAGATGGATATTTGTTCTTTGAGTTGAATGATTTGCTTAGATTCCACCCGAATTATCCACCTGAGCTACAAACATTCACCATCTCAGGATAACTTCATTATCTGTCTCACCGTTTTTCATATCGTTTTCTTCTTTTTAATTCAGTAACTTAATTATACTTTCAGATATTCTGTTTCATTTCTTAAATAGTTTACATCATTTATTGATATCATGTTGACAACCATTGAATAGTAGGAGGCACTAGATATTTATTTCGTCCTAGTATATGACCTCTTAACAATACTGAACAACAATCTCACCTAGGAAAAACAGGTCTCACAGTGAACACTTAATCTTCAGACCATGGAACCAGTGTCTAATGATTTACATGTTTTACACAATTCAGTTCACGTTACTGTATAACCACCTTTCAATACCATCGGTGTAGGGTCACGGGTGTGCACTTCTGATGAGTGTCATACTAATATAATTTGTTTAATGCTTCTTAGTTTTCAATGTTTTTTACACTAAGATCAGTCTATGATGTAACATGGAATCCATGGATCTCCATAAACCCTCCAAAGTAACAAAAAATATTATATTTTTTAAAAGCCAATAGCAACAGTTTGATTTATCATGTAATATTTAGTTCTGTTGCGTGTACCAAAACCTTAAATAAATACAAAGTATCAAATTCCATTCTCGAAGTTGACATTATCTTACTAGTATACATATATATATATAATCCTGTCACATTCCTATGAATAAATATATAATGCGATTTAACGATTTTTATAATATGAATGACTTCATATTGTTAGACATTTTCTCTACAATGGACAAAGTTCTTATGGTATCTGACATTTATTCATTAAAATGACGTCTGGAAAATTTCCAGTTCTGGCTAAAAATTTGTTCGAATAAAAGTTATGTTGTTAATATATAGGTTTATGTATTCATTAGTAGTAAAGATTAGCAAAATTCATCTTAAGCTATAGTCTGAATGTACCATGCATACGGTACGCATGTATTAATTATGAGAAAATGCATTACAATTAATATTATCGGATAATCATTTTGAAAAAGAGTTTTGTCATAAACTGACATTAGTTGGGGTAACTTTGAACGCGAGGAGGCAGTGAACTAGACAGATAATATGTCTCACTTTAAAACTCTTTCATTGGGTGCGCATACATGAGATATAATCCAAAACCTTCAGTAGTTGATAGATACTAGTAGCTATTGCATAGACAGCTAGTGGAACTCAATGCCCAAAGTACAAAAATGTGTGCCTAATAGTTATTAAATTGTTGCAAGAATACTATAATTTATAACAGATTTTTGTAAATTAACATTATCATTTTTTCGTTTCGTTTTTTTGTTCTTTTATTAATCAAATAAAAAGGATTCGTCATTAAAGCATTCTCCTCGTGTTGATGCTACTTCTGGTGGATTATATGGTTACAATCCGATTACTTCAGGTAAAAAAAAGTTCCACATTTATAGCTTATTATTATGAAATTATCCTTGTTCCCATACTCCCATACGGGAAATGTATCAGTTTTTATATGATATTCTATTGTGTTCTTCCCCTTTCCTTTTCAAAAGTAACTATATTCTTACATTGTTTTTTTAATACTTGCGTAGAATAACATGGTCTAATAGTTAGAACATCCAACTTTTAACTGTGTTTTTAGATTTCAGGCTTTACGGAACAAAAGATGTCAAGCGTTAAATTGAGTACATCAATCTGCTGTTAATTGGTTTTGTACTTTCGTGATCGAGCTTTGTGTTCGGATATAAGTTTCAAGTGAAACACCAATGCATACTATATCTTGGTTGCATTTGTCAAGCAAGGTAAAGCGCATATCGTAGACTGTATTGCTAAGTAGTGGTACTAAATGTGAAAATTTCTTAAACATCCGTCTCGAGTTGATTGGTCATTTCTTAATCATACAGTAACCTGGTCTTGAGGTCATTCCATGATTTTATTGAATATTGAGTTCAGCAATGTTGGTGGGCGAAGACTAATTAGTTGGAGCCCACTTAATCGTAACTAATGAGCAGATAATTTGAGTGACGTGCTTTAGAATCATCCGCAATAACTCAAATGCATTCACCCTCTGTTTCCCCCTAGGTCCTAAATCTCAAGATCTCCTTATCATTTGTGTTTCTTTCGACATCTGGTGTTTTCCACTTCTAGTGACACTTACCGAACTACTATAAGATTTATCTTGGTAATTTTATCTCATGATGCTAAGGTAGTATGGCGACTTGAGCCAACTCACATATTTCTCATTTTCCATGTTGCATACAATTGACAGTAACCTAGTTGAGGTTTAGTATTCCCATAACTAAATGAAAACAAGGTAAATTCCATTCAAAGGGGTGATACGAATTTTAGCTCCAAATTTACACAAAATATCAAATGTAATTACGTTAGTTAATTTTTAATTGACTCGTTACTATAGGTAGTATTGAGTGAGATTTACATTCAAAGTCCATAAAAAGACCTCTGAATTGTTTGTGCACCGAGATTTCACCCAGTACTTTCTTTATAAATGAAATGTTAATGCATTTGATCATGTTTACTGTAAATAAATCTTACAATATGAGTGGTTATATATATACTGGACAATAGATAGTGATATCAGTTTATTCATTTATTGCCGTTAATAAGAACCCACCACGCATTACAGTAAATGATTCAACTACAATTACAGATACTCCTGCTTCTGTCTTTTGATTTTGTGACTGAATTTCTTCACGTTCGATTGCCGATAGCCGTATACTGTATTAGCTGTAGTCAAGCAGAGGATATAACACTGCATATGAAGGAAAATATCTTGAGTTTTTTGGAAGAATGAGATTTCTGTAAGGTTCGTGTTCGACCGTGCTAAGTTTTGTTAGACGTATTGTGACCTTGGTGGCATCAAGTTTAGCGATGTCGACGTTAAGTTAAGCTTCATAGTTCTTGAACAAGGTTTTGAATGTGATACCTGCCGAAACGTCGATGGAACATCAACTCTGAGATGCAGGCACATTCAACTGACCTGTCCAGATTAAGACGAAACGCGCGTCTTGGATTCCACTGCTAACCGCCATCAGTCAGTCAGCTACAACGTAGGACCAAGCACATATATGCATCGGTTCAAGTTGCCATACCTCATTAACACAACAAGATGAACACCGAATTCATAGAAGTAGTTAATTAAGTGATGGTAATATATAAAAGAAAGATTGCATATGAGGACGTAGTATAGCAAGAAAGAATTAGTTCGTAGAAAGAAAGATATGAAGCGGTTTTAATCTCATAGTGTAAGGGAAGACAGAGTGTGTATACATCTTCGCCATTGTGATCGATTCTGAGCCATGTCACCCAGAGTCCCCAACCATTGGTTACGATAGTCACGCGGACCCCAACCAAGTAGTCTGCATCTACCAACATGGCTAAGACTAGATGTTTGTGACTTAAATGACTTATGCCACGTTTTGGTCTGGCGGCCCCCAACTTTCTTCCAGCCATCCCCAACACTAGTCAGCATTGCGCGTCGTGGTAATCGGTGTTCAGGCATACGCAGCACGTGGCCCAACCATCTCTTTCGATGAAGATTCAGAACCTCATCAACTGATTTACCATCATTTCCTAATACCCTGAGTCTAACCTCACTATAACTTACCCGGTGATTCCAGCAGATGCGAGCAATATTTCTAAGGCATCTGTGGTCAAATACTTGTAGCTTACGAATATGTTCTACTCTTAATGGCCACGTTTCTCAGCCGTAAAGTAAAACAGAACGAACTGCCGCGCAGTATACTCGTCCCTTAATTGATAGACGGATATCTCGCCTGCCCCATAGGTGACGTAAGTTGGCAAAAGCCAAACGAGCTTTTCGAATACGTGCTAAGATTTCGTCAGGCACCAACCCATTAAGGTTGGTCAGACTTCCAAGATAAGTGAAGTTGTCAACGCGTTCGACGACTACTTCACTCCCTATCCTTAGTTCAGGTGTTGACGCAGGCTAGTCCTGAAACAACAAGTTGCATTTAGAGGGGGAGTAGCGCATCCTAAACTGTCTGACATTGTTGCTCAAAGCTACCAAAAGACTGCATTTTATCAGCGTCTTCACTAAATAGGACTATATCATCTGCGTATTCTAAGTCGATAAATTGATTTCGTGGTAAGAGATCAATGCCCGAAAATTCAGTCAACGAGAGCGTCATTTTCAGCAGTAGGTCTATGATGTAGTTAAACGAAAATGGAGAAAGTGGACAGCCTTGACGGACACCGCCTGATGTTCCGAAAGCAGATGACAGTTCGCCATAAGCTCTGACTTGACTAGTAGTGTTCGAGTAAAGAGCCTGCACAAGGTTTATGTACTTCTGAGGTACGCCTTTCAATGACAGACACTGCCACAGAATCTCGCGGTCTACGGAGTCAAATGCTGCTTTTAAGTCAATCTTTATATGTGTAGCCAGAATTTAACACCAATACAAAGCATATTCACTTTTTAATAAGTAAACCATATCGTCTAACACATTGTAGAGTTTAGACGTATAATATTTTCGAGAGCAACAACTCAGTCATCCCCTACTCATTTACAGTAATGGAATGAAGACTGTTATTTTGTGGAAGATCTTTTATTGAATCCATAAACGTCAATTTATGGTACAACTCATCTCTTTATATAGTTTGTTTTTGATATTAGAGAAAGTGCACCAAAATAAAAATTTGTATTTAGTAATCACGAAACTTATTGTTTATAATGCTCAAAAAATTCTGCATACTTACTTGTTTTTGATAACTATCATAGAACGTCAGAATGATTGATAAACCCCATAAGATTCGGAAGTAAACAATGTTGCATGTCTCAATAATAATATAACACAAGTGGGATTATCTCATTATTTCATACAAATTTCTTGTATGTGAACCATGTGAGAATCATAATATGTATATCCTTTAATAAAGTATTTAATCAATTAACTAATACTGGTATTCCTTTCTTATATTCTCTGACTATAATTTGATGTTTGGTTTCGTAATAGTTTGCCTTTTTCTTTGATAGGCATTTCTATCTAGTCCTATTCGATCAATATTCTTGTTATGTTAGTAGTGTGTTTTTATTATTGAATAGTGATGTCTTGACATACTGTCTGTCTATCAGGTTAACAACATACTAACCGTTCAAATCATATTTTTATGTGTTTTCTTTTCGGAATCATCAATATTTAATGTAAATTAGTTGTTTGGCTGATCTTTCAATATTCCTCTATCACAATAATCTAAATTAACTAGTTTAACCAATGTAATGACCAACGAAAAGAACTATTAAACAATAAATGTAATCATTTTCATTTTAAAACTAATCATCGTGCTATTGTTTTGCGTTCTCTGATTACGACCCAGCTACTCTTATTGTTTATTAGTCTAGGTCACTACTTCAAACAACAAGTCCTTAAATCAGAACACAGGTGAACAGAAACGTGATTATATTCCAGATAACAAGGTTGAATAGAAGTAAGAATCACAATAAGGAAAACGTTACCATATTTATAATTTTTACATCAAAATATTCTGATAGGTTAAGGAATGGCCAATTAGCGTGCCCCAACATAGTCCTACACAGAACATGCTTTAATCAAATCTATATCCCGCTAACAACTATTAACAATTCATTTAGGGTAAATGTAGACAAATTAATACAGAAAAATAACACCTCGTTCAATAATGCAGCAGTTCATATTCTTGTACACGTGCAAGAAGCATAAAATAGCGAGATCAACGTTATCATCTTTATTTTCTAATTTATGTTTTATAGATCTTAACCAGGTAGATCATATTTGTAAACAGGACCCAAATCAACTGTCACTTATTTTCTAGTTAGTTGTCATATCTCAATACGGCTTACTGATAAATCTTTTTGAACTTATATAATTATAACTAACAGCACATGTCAAGTATAGACCATAACTTTGCATAGCAGAATCGCATAACCGAGTCACCTTAATCAGTTTAAGTGCTTAGAAGTATCATCTATTTGACATCCTCTTTTGATTGTAACAGTAAGACATAAGTTGTCAGTATTTTGCCGATTAGCCAGTTTGTATTTTTTCCATTAACTATATAACAATGGAATAGTTTATATGCTCAAATTTGTCACGTATGCCTTGTGTAATTGCTATAACTTTTAACTATGTATTTGGTATTTCCTGATTACGAACAATTGAGGGATTCTTTTAATATGAAATGGGATCTATGTTAAATCGATGGATCGGAAAATGAATACAAAACGTTTCTAAAAGACTGAAATCTTGTAAGATAAATGTATTAGACGAGACCGGGGAAGAAGCAATTCATACTCCAGTTTATTGAAGTTATATGACGATCATTCACTGACCATTTTGTCAAATTAAATAGTTGTCAGCAAACGCAGATCACAGTGAGTTAACTAATCAACATGGTAAAGACAAATGAAAA